TTTCAAAGCTGCTGTGTCCTCCCCTGCAGCGGGCGCGAGGGGAGGCGGGGGGCTCGCTGGGCCGGGGCCCCGCAGCTCCCGGGGGTGACGCGAGGGCTGGCGGCCGTTCCGACCTACTCGACTGTGAACTGGAACCTTGTGCGGAGCGCGGGGCCGGCGTGGGCCGCGGGGCCGTCCCGCTGGCTCCCTGCGTGCGCCTGGCCGCGCTCAGGAGCCGCAGGGAAAACGGCTTCTCCCCATTCCTCAGTACAGCTGGGTTTTTTTTTCCCCCCCTCCTCTCTCTCGTCTTCCTCGTACATGTTCGGGGTTTTTTGTGTGTGTTCCACAGAGTCAGATACAAGGTCAAATAAATGATAAACCTCTCCTCGAGCTGAGATGCTGTCGATCGTGGCCGGGCAGGAAGCAGCGGGATCAGCGCGACAGTCCCGGCTGCTGCTGGCGGGGAGGCTGGGCAGGGCACAGCTGCTGCTTAGAAAGTAAGAAAGTTTATTTAAAAACAAATCAAAAGCTCCATTCATAATTTAGTAGTATAAGTTATTAATCCCAGTGACAGCAACCCAGCTTGGCTGCGTCATCGCTGCCTCATGCAGCAGCCAGAGCTGCCAGTAATAAATAGGAGCAGTATTTGCCAGCCCTGGGGAGCTGGCTCCTGGGCAGCCTTTGGCACCACCGTTACAGGAGTGGCTGCCACAGGCAACGTGGAAGCAAAACCAGCCGGGAGCCAGCTTGAATTCCTGCCGCCAGGCACGTTGACACAGTCCTCGGGGAGTGAGGAGCCACGTGGCTGGGACAGGGCTGGGGCCGTGGTCACTCGCATGGGAACAGCAGGGTTTCCTCACAGAGCTGCCTGGGGGACATGGGCTCTGCCCGTGGGATTGGGGACAGGGGGTGGACCCTAGGCCTGCGCAGGGGAAGGGCAGCAGCCCCGGCAAGAAGCCGCTGCCACCTCTGGGGGCCACCGGCCTCAGGCTGTGGTCCCTGGGGGGTGGCAGATGTGGCAGCCCAAGGCCATGAGGTAGGTGCAGGAGGCAGCAGTGGGCTCTGCCCTGGGGGGCAGCAGGGCCCAGCTGCCTGTCTGGGACCAGCAGCCTCCCCCTGCTCCAGATGTGGGGAGCAGAGGGCCAGGCTGGGAAGGGGCTGGCCCAGGAGCAGCTCCAGCAGCGGCTGCGGGGCCCGCAGAGCCCAGGGCCATTCCGGCCTGGACAGGGCTGGCTCCCGGCTCTGGTTTTCCTTGTGGTGGGGGCTATGAGATGAAGAGGACCTTGGCAGGGAGGAAGAACAAGGAGGAGGCTGAGGGGGCTCCTGCCCAATGCAGGAGGTGGCTGGGGCGGGGAGGGAAGGAAATTCATCCCGGTTTATCGCCAGCTCCGGGGGAGCGCGGGCAGGACCCCCCAGCTCAGTTCTTGCTGAAGCCCGTGGGATTCTGCAGCTGCCAGCGCCACAGGTCCTCGCCTGCAGGAGGGGAGAGACGCGGGTGAGCGCCGGGGGCGGCCGGGGCGCACGGCAGCCCGGGGCAGGGGTTGCTCTTACACATCTTGTCCAAGCCGAAGGCAGCTTTCCAGCCCAGCTCCCGCGCGGCCAGCGCTGGGTCAGCGTAGCAGGAGGCCACGTCGCCCTCGCGCCGGCTCGTGATCCTGTACTTGATCTGCGGGGAGAGCAGCGCGTGGGGATGGGGGCTCCCAGGGCAGGGAGGGGATAGGAGCTGCAGGAGCAGAGCCAGCAGCTGCCAAATGTGCTCGAGGGCTGCGGGGGCTCCCGCTGCCTCTGCCGCTTCAACCTTACCTCCCTCCCCGAGGCTTTTTCCATGGCCCGGACCATCTGGAGGACAGAGTAGCCGGTGCCCGTGCCCAGATTGTAGATCTGCAAGGAGGAGAAGGGACAAGCATCAGCTCCTTCTGCACGAGCAGAAGGGCAAGGCCTCCCCAGGAGCTCAGCCTGAGGACACAGGGGCAGCAGGGACAGAGGGGCCGGCGACCAGCTCAGAGCCGTGACGCCCACGAAGCCACGGGTCCCCCACGGTGCTTGGGGCTCCCTCCCTGCCCCACGGCCACAGCTCCCACTACCTTGCAGCCGCAGTTCTCCCTGAGCTTCTTCAAAGCCGCGAGGTGGCCCTTGGCCAAATCCACGACGTGGATGTAGTCCCTGACACCTGTGGGGACACGGACAGTGAGCACACAGCCCTCTTGCCTGGTGGGGACGGCCACCTCCACCCCACAGAGCTGCCACGCACCCGTTCCATCCTCCGTCTGGTAGTCAGCCCCAAAGACACTCAGGACGTCCCGGCGTCCCACTGCCACCTGCACGAGACGAGGCCGTGAGGGAGCAGCCCCGCTGCAAACCCCAATGCGGGGCCCTCAGCGCTGTTGCCGGCCGGTACCTGGGCCACGTACGGCATGAGGTTGTTGGGGATCCCCTGGGGATCTTCTCCAATCATGCCTGACTCATGGGCCCCGATGGGGTTGAAATAGCGCAGGATAACAGCGTTCCAGTCCTGCGGAGACACACACACATGCTGCTGTCTGGGGAGGGCACAGTATTCCAGGTGACAGCCCCGGGCTGCGGGGCACCGTGCAGCACAGCCCCAACCCCGGAGCGCTCCCAGGGGAGACGCCGCAGCCCTGCGTGTCTCCACGGGGCTTCTCACCTTCTCTGCGCTGCACAGATCCCGAATCATCTCCTCGATGAAGTACTTGGATTTGCCGTAGGGGTTGGTGCAGCCTCCGACGGGGTGGTTCTCGTCCAGGGGCAGGTACTTGGGGTCTCCATAGACGGTGGCGGAGCTGCTGAACACGATGTTCCTCACGCCGTGCGCGGCCATGGCCTGCGGGAGCAGGTGCCACCTGCTATGAGCCAGGGGGTCCCCAGCTCAGCCATGCACCCCGGCCCTTCCCGGGCACCCCGCAGGCCAGGCCAGGCAGGGCCGAGTCCCCTGGGGCTCAGATGAGGTCCAGCCATCCCAGTCCCCAGCGCAGGGGCACATTCAGGAACCACAAGGAGAGGTTTTGTGCTTCCTAGCAGCACTCGCCTCCTTTCCGTGCAGGCAGCAGCTCAGCAAAGGCCTTTCAATGCAGACGGTGGCAGCACAATGGCAGTGTCACTCACTGCTCTGCTCCTTTGCCCTTTGGATCCCCCATTTGTTGAGATGTCCCTGTCACCCCCTGCCCCGCAGCACCCGCTCCCCTCGGGCCACGCGCGGCTCCCAGCTCCGCTCACCTCCAGCAGCCGGATGGTCCCGGTGAGGTTCACCCTGTAGTAGAGCAGGGGCTGCTGCACGGACTCCCCCACGGCCTTCAGCCCCGCGAAGTGCATCACGGCCGAGAAGCGGTGCTGCGGCGGGGGAAAGAGCGTCAGCGCCGCAGCCACGCGAGGGCAGCTCCTGCTCTTTCTCCATGACTGGTTCTGGCTGCAAAGGGGCCTCATCTATTAAAGTTAATCTACTCCGTGACAGAAGCAAGGGCCTGCTGGTCCAGAGGAACATTTTCAGACAGAAAGGTAGAGACTCAAGGCAGAAGCCAGGGAGAGGTCTCTCCTGCAGTACCCCTCAGCCACCCCATGCTGTCTCCTTTGCCTGCAGAGACACTCAGCAGCCACGGCAGCTCCTCAGTGCTCTCCTCTCCTCCAGCCTCCTGCCCACTTCGCCTCCCTCTGCTGTTTCCCAGCACGAGCCCCTCAGAGAGCCCACGCAGCCACCCCGGGACACGGCCGCTCTGCTCTCACCTTGCTGAAGAGCTCCCGCAGCGCCGCCTCGTCCGTGATGTCCAGCTCCTGGAACAGCACGGGCTGCTGCACGATCTGCTGCACGCGGCGCAGGCTCTCGGGGAGCTCATCTGCCCCTGAGAAAGCAGAGAGGGGGTCGGCACAGGCGAGTTCCCAGAACGGGCTGACAGAGGCCGAGCGCTTTGCGCAAGGGGGGAAAGGCTTCCGCACCTCGGATGGCGTTGTGAAAGTTGTCCACGACCACGGGCACGTAGCCGGCTTCCAGCAGCTCCAGCACGCAGTGGCTGCCGATGTACCCAGCGCCGCCGGTCACCAGGATCTTCTCTGCCATCGCTACCTGGGGAGGGAGGGCTCTTCAGCGCAGAGCGACCGCGCGATGCCAGGAGCTCCACAGCCTCCGGGGACCGTCACACGTCAGCGCTGCCCTGGGCAGGAACCGGCTGGGCAGGTCCCAGACCTGCAGGTCCCACATCCGTGTCTGGGAGGATTTATTGACTTTCCAGCATTTGTCACAGCTTGAAGCCAGCCAAGATCCTGGCGTCACCCATATCCTTCAGCCTCCGAGCTGATTAGCCCAAGCACAGGCATCACCCCATGGCATTACCCTGGGGGTCACTACAGGGGGTCCCAGCTCCATCCTTTTCGCACTGTCCCCTGTTTTCTCCCCTGCCTCTGCAGCGGTGCCCCAGCTCTGGCCTCTAACTCCAAAGGAAGTTGGGAGCAGTGCTGGCTCACTGCAGCTCGCAGGGATATTTGCTGGCAAACACCAGCAGAAACGTGGAAAATATCCTACAAAGGAACCTTTGTCCCTTGAAGCAGAGGGCTAAAGAGACACCAGTCTCCCCAGCACCTCCAGCCCAGCAGTTCCTGCTGCTCCTGCCCAGCAGGCAGAAGGGAAAAGTGGCTTCATTATCAGGGAATACGGAGGGAAAACTTAATGGAAACACACTCTCAGCAAAGCAACCAGCTGAAACCACTAAAAGAATCATCTGAACAGGCCGGCAGGCAGCTGGTTCCCTTGCCGGGCTGCCCTGCGCCGCTCTAGCAGCCAGCAAGGGCATCTCCAGGGAAAGACACAGGCGCAGGCATTCAAATTAAAGGCCAGGAAAACAAAATAAAAACAAAATAAAAACAAAATAAAAACAAAATAAAAACAAAATAAAAACAAAATAAAATCCACTCTTCGCCCTGGAGATGAGCGCTGCACGGGACACGAGGTGCAGACGTGGCGCGGCCGCAGGGCCGGGTTACCCGCGGGGCCAGTGGCCACCGGAGGGGCCGGGAG